GCTGCGTGTGGAGGAGCTGCTTGCTGTGACATAGCTTTAGGCTCTGTGTTTGCCGCTCCTCATGTGGTGAAACCATCTCAGCAGGCGCCAGGGACTGTGCTGAGCTGCTGGGAGGCTGCAGCTCCTGCCATCCTCGCCCAGAGCCGCGGATTTCTGAATGAGAAACGCGGCGATTCGAGCTCTGTCAAACGCTGCTCCACCAGAGAGGCTCAGCCGGGAGCTTGCTGAAGAGCTCTGTCAAAACAAGCCGTCTGCCTGATCCCCGAGCTGCTTCCTGAGGGGGGAGCGTTGGCTTCTCGGAGAATTAATGCATTAAAACTCTGCCCAGAGCCTTATTTTTAAAGGCTTCGGAGGTGAGCGCCATTCTGGCTCCGCGTACGAAGCTCGGCCGGGTCTTTGTGCGCCACGTCCAGCTGGAGGGCAGCGCTCCGAGGGCTGGGAGGCACCGAGCAGGACATCTCCTCAAGGAAATCCAGACAATTCTCCCTCGAGTCCCACCCAGCAGCAAAAAAAACTGCGGTTCATCCTCTCTCAGACCCGGGTCACGGCTCCAGCACCCGCGGGGACGCACAGGCATCAGCGCAGATCCCATCAGAGAGGGGTAAAACCCCCCCAAAACCAGTCAAAAATCGAATTGGCTCCATGTGCCGGGGCCCTGCCACACGTGGCAGCCTCAGCAGGGGCTCAGCTCGCTCAGGATGCGGCTCCATCCCTTGTTCCAGCAGCAATCCCTGCAGGTGTGGGCCTGGCTCCTCTCCAGAGCTCCAGGAACCTGCACAGGTCACTGCCCCTCAGCCAGAGCCCACCCTGCAGAGAGAGGAGCAGGAAAAGCCAGGGAAACGGCCACTCTCAGCCCCAGGGGGGCAAAAAAGGCATTTTCCAGCTGCCCTCAGATCAAATTTGGGGTGCTAGCGGCGGGAGGGAGAGGTTTGGGGCTCTGCTCGCAGGGAACAGGGACAGGAGGAGAGGGAACGGCCTCAGGGGAGCTCAGGGCGGATATTGGGAATATTCCTTCCAGGGAAGGGCAGGGATGGAATCCCCAGCCCTGTGGAGGTGGCACCTGGGGACAGGGGCAGTGCTGGGATGGATGGGTGAGCTCAGAGGGCTTTTCCAACCTGAGCAATTCCGTGATTCCACTGCCCAATTTCCCTCCTGTTCCACAGAACCAGGGCACAGAGAGAGCACCGGGACCTGCAGCTCCTTCCCCAGGCCACCAGCAGCTCCAGCACCCCAGCACGGTGGCTGTGTCCCCTGAGGGTCACCTGCCCCCTGTGCCACCCATCCTCACCCTTCTCACAGTGCCTGGGGCACCTGGGACAGCATCCCAGATTCCAGCCTGGATGTGCCCAGGGAATGCTGGATGTGCCCAGGGATCCTGGATGTGCCATGGGAATCCTGCAGGGATCCTGGATGTGCCCAGGGAATGCTGCAGTTCCTGGGGCTCCAGAGACCCTGGATGTGCCACCCCTGCCATGGCAGGGACCCCTCTGGCTGTCCCAGGCTGTTCCCAGCCCTGGGCACTGCCAGGGAGGGAGGGAGGTGTTTCCATCCATGCAGATTTTAAACAATTCCAGCCAGGCTCCTGCAGGAACCCCAAACCCCTCTGACACCACCGTGCCCAGAGGCAGCCGAGGCACAACTTCACCACAAAACCCGGCGTGAAACATCCCCCAGGAAAGGCCTTTCCCCATCATTTCCTCCCCTGGACCTCACTCAGAACCTCACCCCTGCACTCAGGGCCAGACCCACGAGGCTCTCCCCCTCTGGAATTCTGAATGAACCCCGGGAAGAGCCTGGCTTTGTCACTCTGCAGAATGTAGGTCAAAAGTCTGCGTGGTTTGTCACAGAGAGCGGCTCTGTGTCATCTGCCTCAGGCAGATGGGGCTGAGTCACTGCTGCTGCCTCCCTCCTCCTTCCCAGCCCTTCCCTTCCTCCTCAGATGGGGCTGAGTCACTGCTGCTGCCTCCCTCCTCCTTCCCAGCCCTTCCCTTCCTCCTTCCCTTCCCTTCCTCCTTCCCTTCCCTTCCTCCTTCCCAGCCCTTCCCTTCCTCCTCCCAACTCTTCCC